TTAGACCTTACAGGCTAAACAAAGTTTCAAATTTGAAATAAATCAATGAAAGCTGTAATATCATTATGCTTTTTTTTTTTTTTTTTTTTTTTTAGAAACAACAGCAAATAACAGAACTACTGCACAAAATCAGTGCAATGAGTCCAATGCGATACCTCGGCTCCAGACTCCGCCCCCTCCACAGACGCTCCCCTGCTCCTCTCCCTAATTGTAGCTGACCGCAGACAGTGCCGCAGACAGGACGCCGGCTTGTTTTGTTTTTATGACCGAAATTGTGGAAAACAACTCGTGAAGTTTGACCCGCTAGAAGAGCGAGGTGCGCAAGAACGCTGGGACCCTTTTTCCACCTGGATCTCTGCTCTTTTTTGCCCTCATGTCCCTCCGTCGTCGGACTAAACTCGCCCCCACTTCCTCGCCGCCTCGGCCGTATCTAGACCCACAGCGTGTAGCACTGACCACGCTCCAATATTGAGCATAATTTTAAAATGTCTGCATCAAGCTCACTGCAACACACTGCTGTAAGAGTATAACCAGGAAGCGAGGTAGGAGGGCAAAATAGGTTTAGCGCCACCGCAGCACGGGAGGAGAATTACGTCCAGGAGCAAATGGATAAAAATAGACCAGATGAAAAAAAACATGAATCGATTCTCTTGCGGACGTGTCGATGCATCGGATGGTCGGCTGTTGGATCGAAGCATCGATACAAAACGATTATTAATTACACCCCTAGTTATAGATAGGATGCCTCTTGACCTGAATTAACCTGTGTCACTGATGTAGTTGGGAGAGAATACCCTAATGTTTTATATTTTTCAAAATAAAACATCACTCAGACTCTGATCGTCGATAAATATATATATATATTTTTTTTCTGTACGGCCCGGTACAAAATGACCGACGGCCGGTACCGGTCCACGGCCCGGTGGTTGGGGACCTCTGTACTACACGACTACTCGAAAGATTCTTACACGACTGGAAGATCGCATAGTGTACGCCGGGCTTAAATTATTTTTTTTATATCAGTATTCAGCACTGAAATTCTCAGGTCTAGCGCCCCTAGTGGCCAAAGAATGAATCTAACTTGCTGCTGTAAACAGCAGAATTTCCCCATCGTGGGACAATAAAGAAATTTTCTATTCTTCTCCAACTTTCCACACATTGTTGATGTGTATTTTCATTCCAGATGAATCCTAACAGACTGATGATGGATGTAATCGGTTGTTATCCCTGAATGATATTTATTCTCTGTATCGTGTGTTTCTCTCTGGCAGTGGGCATTTATGCCCGCCCCTCCTCTCACTTCCCCTCCCATTACAACGAGTCGATCGTCCCGTCATCTCCCAGCTGCCTGGGTATGAACTCCACCTGCACGTCGGGCTCGTCGGAGACCTCGGGGATCGCAGAGGCTCTCCGAAACCAGCCTCCGACTCCCAGCAGCCTCGCTGTGAAGGAGGAGCCGTGCGACGTCGACGCGGTGCTGATCGAATGGGAGCTGAGTGAGGAGAGGGCCGCGGAGGCTCTGGAGCAAGCCGGCGCTCCGTGTCCCAACGAACAGAGTCCCGACATCGATAACCCCCCAGGTTGTTGTGCGCTGAGCGAATGCGCTATCTCTGCAGAGCATCCGGAGGACAATGAGGGGCAGATGATGAGGGAGAAAACTCCTGGGCAACCTCCTGGTTTTCAAAACGCGGCGGCAGATCAGCTGAAGTAAGCTGTATTTATATATATATGCTGATATTTTAAAAGGACTTTTAAAAGGAAGTAAACCCGAACTGATTCATGGTCCATTTAATGCCTTAAAATGTGTCCTGAAACCCTGAAGGACCATCAATCTAAACCCATCCTCGCCGTTTCTCCCCTGCTCTCCTCCACCAGGAACAAAAAGAAGAACGTTCCCACGTCGCAGCTGACGGAGGAGGCGCAGAGGCTGAAGAGGGCCGCGTGGAGAGCGGCTTCCAAGCGCTACTACGCCCGTAAGGTCGCCCGTCAGCAGGCCAGCCTCCAGCACATCGGGCCCGTGGAGGACAGGAGGAGGAGGCCCGTTCCAGGTTTCCCTGAGGAGACGCAGATGCTGCGGACTTACGGCTGGAGATCCGCCTCCAGCCGGCTCTACAGCAGGAGGACCCACAGCTTACCGTACGGAGACCTGATGGAGGACTTGAAACCTGAAGGAGTCCCGCAGGAACCAAACGGAGAGGGGCCCCATGTGAGCGGTGGAGGGATAATGTGCAGCTGATGATTACGGTCACGCTTCAGAAACCGTTTTCTGTTTTCTGATAACATCTCAAAGGAAACTGGAGTCAAATCAGATTCTCTACTTAATACATCTAAACTATATTTCTACCTAATAACTACTAATGCATCAGATTTTAATCCAGATGCACCAAGTTTAGCTTCAAATGAAACCGATGTTTGGTTTTCCTTCCTGTCTTCGTAAAACACAGAGAAACGTGTTTCTTTAAACTGTTTGAACTCTTCTACAAGTCTTTAAAAGGAAAAGTCCGGTCAGCAAGGAATAATAATCAATGTGTCATTATTTATACCTAAAACTAATACATGCTCTGCTCGTCTGGAGCTGCATTTCACCTCCTGTTATTAATAGTCTCTGGATAATAATAAATTCGTACTTTTTTTTTTTCATTTATTCGGGGAATTATAATGAACACAGTCAGATAAACACAAATCAAATGAACATTTTGCCAAATAAAACGAAAAAACATCGCCGTCAGAGTCAGCGGTCCTTCACACACGGCTAGGCAGAGAGAGGGCTGCTGGAGACGCGCTAACGTTAGCCCTGGCTGCGGCAGACGCGCTAATGTTAGCCCTGGCTGCCGCAGACGTGCTAACGTTAGCCCTGGCTGCCGCAGACGGGCTAAAGTTAGCCCTGGCTGCCGCAGACGGGCTAAAGTTAGCCCTGGCTGCCGCAGACGCGCAAACGTTAGCCGTGGCTGCCGCACACAGGCTATAGTTAGCCATGGATGCCGCAGACACGCTAACGTTAGCCCTGGCTGCCGCAGACGAGCTAACGTTAGCCCTGGCTTCCGCAGACGGGCTAAAGTTAGCCCTGGCTGCCGCAGACGCGCTAACGTTAGCCCTGGCTGCCGCAGACGGGCTAACGTTAGCCATGGCTGCTGTTAGCCTCAGAGGTCCGCTGGTTGCCGCAGTCCTCTCAACTTCTGATTTTTTTTTTTATTACGCAATAAATCTGTAAATTGACCATATAGTGAAGCTTGAATTATAAATGAAATTATAAAATTATAAATATATTATGTTCTCGCCTCAAATGATCTTAAAACGTACATTTATTGAACAACAGCAACAGAAAATAACTTTTATCTTAATACTCTGAGCTCTGTTAGCTCTAACCTGGAAGCTGCTGCAGTGCATGCTGGGACAGCTGTCAATCTCAAGTCCAGACAAGTCTGCTCTGATGCATGCTGGGTAAAGAGGGAGGGGTGAGAATAACATCCGGGGACTTTTTCTGTGCTAGGGCTGAGGCTGATGAGGTTTCACGAGAACACACAAGTACATAGATTGAGAAAGGGCCTAAATGTTCTCTTGGTGTGTCCCCACCCCCCCCGTTTATGTTCTTCCTAAGGTTCACGGCCCAGAAGAGTTGATGATTGTCTCCCTCTAGTGGTCTGGAGCACTTCCATTGTGTGAAGCTAGTTTTCATCATTTCTTAAAGGGGTTTGCGATAAGTTTAACCGCTCCCAGCCAGTAGGTGGCGCTCTCTTCCTCACCAGCTCTCCTTCTCTACTGTGTGTCAGCCAATTGCTAGGTCCGCTAGCGCTAATCGATAGCATTAGCATAGGTGTAACTTACCTGTATAGATGTAAATCTGCAACCTCTGCGTTTCTTCTGAACCTCTTTGCTTCAATAAGTCGACACCAATGTTGAAATCTTGACCGATGTTTCTCCTCTTTTTGCTTTTTTTATTATATCTGAGAAATACATCTCCTAGAAGACGCCATTTCTCAGCTGTATCTCGGAGCTGCTAGGATCCGCCCTGTTACTTCAATCTCTTATTCCTATTGGTTTAGATGTTTTCGCATCACAACCACAACTAAATCAAAAATGCATAAAATAAATAATTATCTCTGTATTATTTTTGTGTTTTTCTGTAAAATTAACACTTTTGCCTGCACCATCCGGACGTTCAGTGGAGTTTTTTTTTCTTTAAGTTGATCGTTAAGATAAAAAAGCTATAACCTTTAATTTAAAGTCCTCATGAGAAAATGCTGTTTGATATATTTGCAAACCAAAAAAAATGTTTCTATATTTTCTTACACACTTAAGCTGCAGGTTTCTCTTCAGTTCCTCTCCATGTTGGATTGAGAGGACGGATTTCCTTTAAGGTAACTAATGAATAAAATCTGCAGGGTTTTAATTTATGCATTAAATAACCAGAAGAATTTGGCTTTTTTTTTTTTATATTATAAACATATGTGATCAGTTTGATACAACTGAAGAATTGGATGCATTTGTGTAAACCCGCTTTGCATTGTTGCAGTTTGAATATTTTTAAACTCAATATTATCAGAAGTACTTTAAATTCTATTGAATGCTGGTAAATTTTTTTCATATTTTCAAATTTAGACAAAGAATTTCAGTAATTAGAGAAAAAAAAAACGGAGAAAGAGAACTTCTGTCAGATAAAATGTATTTTTCCAGGTTTAAAATAATTTTTTTGTTCTGATTTAATGAGTTATTTTCACCTAAATTGTTGGAAATAGACTCCTGAATCCGGTAATGATGTTTATTATTCATTTTAGATTGTTTTCATCTCTTTGATCTCATTTTTACTGTTTCCTAATCGCTTCCTCATTAAGCCTGGTGTACGTATGCAGCGCCCCTACAGTCCGATATGCGTTACTACAGCTACCTTTAGGGCTTCCTCATTTTACCTGTTTTCAAAGGATCCAGCTGAGTTTATACTGAAGTAAATCTTTACATCTTTTGTATTTTTGTCAATTTTCCACATGTTAAATAAAAAAGACTTTGAAAAGAACCAATGAGTTTATTTTTTCTGGGTTCATGTGTGTGGATGTAATGTCAGGTTTTCTCAAATAATAAAAATATATTATTCATTTCAGAAAATCAAGTAACATTACAAGTTTAACACTCAAACTTGCATGATTCATGGTAAATATCATTAAATGACACAGATTATTCTTTTTTCTATGTAAAAATAAAACATATAAAGAAGAATTATTCCAGTTTTCCTTCCTTTAGTCTTAAGACCAACAATCTTCCTGATCCCTTCTTCAGTGAACAAATTTCTGTAAACATGCCGGTTTACACATTAAGACAACAAAAGGGATGTGGATAAATGTTTTTATTAATGACAATAGAAATATAAACTTACATCCATTTACTTTTAAAAAAGTTTTTTTTTTTTGCCAACAAGCTACATGTTTAATAAATTGATAAAAATAAAATTGACATCAATCTACAGCAGAATATAAAAGAAAACATAAATCACGGATTTATTAAACAATTTATTTGAATAAAATAATTAAATTGAGTAAACTAAAACAAAAACAAACCAAATAAAAACCATTTTCTGCTTGTCTCTACCAGCTCCTCCTGGTGGGATTCTTTGCCATCCCAGCTTCGTATTTGTGTCTCTCAGCTCCCTGCTTTAAAAACAAAAGCATGAATTAGATGCATCGAACAAAAGAGATTATTTTCCTCCCTGAAATCTGCTCTTTGGGCATCCAGATGGTAAAAAGGTTTTTAACATAGAAAGACCAGTAAAAAGAAATATGGAGTGAATGTTGTTCAGGTATTGTTGCAAAAAAAAAAAAAAAACAATCCAGTGGACTTTGTTTCCAAGTTTGAAGATGTTTCTCTTCCCATCCAGGAAGCTTTTTCTATTCAAAATGTCAGAAATAGCGTTTAGTTTGATGCTTTATAGAGGGGACCAAGAAAGCCTTGTTTTTGTTTGTCTACGGAAAGCAATTTTTTGCATTTTTTCTAAGCAAAAACAAGGCTTTCTTGGTCCCCTCTATAAAGCATCAAACTAAACGCTATTTCTGACATTTTGAATTGAAAAAGCTTCCTGGATGGGAAGAGAAATGTCTTCAAACTTGGAAACAAAATCCACTGGATTGTTTTTAACTTTTTTGGAATAACTATGACCTGGATGACTGAGAATCTTCACCAACATTCAGCTATTATTGCAAACAAATAAAATGTTTTGTAGATTGACATGTGAAAAAAATGAAATCCAGAAATTCAACTTTGAAACACGTCCTAATTAATAAAAGGATTTAAGAGATTTGATTTTTTTGGGAGGAAAAAAAACAAAATAGAAAAATGATATATATATATATATATATATATATATATATATATATATATATATATATATATATATATGTATGTATTATGCTATATTTCCAAATTGCATTTTACAGATCAGATTTTCAGAAGGCTTAAAAGAAGAATCCCTTTCTAATCATCTGCATGGACATGGATTTTAGTGGACAGTAAAGAGAATGTGATCTGGAAAAAACAATTAGGAAATAATTCAAATAATTAATAATAATTAATTTCAAAAGTTGATATGTAAAAATATCAACTTTTGAAATTAATTTATAAAAATGTAATATGAAAAAGAAAATCAAAAAGGAAACAATGTGCACTCCTGTAGATACAATTGCCTTCATTAGATAGATAGATAGATAGATAGATAGATAGATAGATAGATAGATAGATAGATAGATAGATAGGAGGTAGAAATTCAGCTATCACAGCCTATAAATGTAGATAAAATATCCATATAGGTATTAAACATTTATTTTGAATCTTTTACCTCTAAATGTTAGGAGGGGAAACACTAAATGTGAAGCAAGTGACTAACAGAAATTTTATGATTCATTTTTTGTTGTTTTATTATTATTATTTACAACAGGTGTTCTGTCAGACCAGCATAACCAATACGCATGTGCAGGACGTCCCATTTGCATTTATCCCTTTAGCTTTGTATGAAAAAAAAACAATTTAAGGTCATATCGATAAATGCTTCAAAAAACACCAAAAAGTAAGTAATTAAATCGTTTTTTGTAGATGACTAAAGGGATACACGGCCATTGAGGTGGTTTAAAGTGTATTTTTCATACAAAACTAAAGGGATAAATCAAAGGTGTAACTTTGTAATGAAAGTTGGGGGGGGCACTCTAAGGGTGGGGGCTGATGGAGCTACAGTTACTCCACCCAAACGCTTTCATTAGGTTTTTGTATTTTCCAAAAATGAGCTCAAACATATATTTAATGAATGCTTTCCTATTATTGAGAACACAAGAGAACTATACACACATATAATACACATATATTTATATTTATAGATATTATATATATTTATATGGCCCAAAAACATTCATGTATATAAAAAAAAACAATAACAGCCAATTCCGATGCTAAAATCAATATATCATGGCTAGAAGTACAATTTCAATTCCATCCATCCAGAAAAATATGGATATGCTGCATTTTAATTATAGCTTTTCATATTATTTCTTGTAAACTTTGTGGTTAAATTGGAGATATTTTATAGCATGTTGCATATCCCAGTAAATGTGTTTCACCTTTAAATCTGCAGCTCTCCCTACTTCTTTCTGTGCCGTTTAAAAAGATTCATTAACCTCTTTTCTAATATAATGATGCCAGAAACAAAATGTCAAGATATGTAAAAGCTCTGCAGTCTGATTCTGTCTGTTCAATCAGAAAACATTTGAACCTGTAACTGGGAGTCATGGTCCTCTGAGAAGCCAAGATTTTTTTTAACTAGTAAAGAAAAACAAAAATCTGTTTTCTAAAGCTTCCTGCATTATAATGCAGCTGAGCAGGCTCAGTGGAAGAGGGTAGCCGAGACAGGACGTGGAACCACAACTTGATGCAGGACTTTAAACTGGTCTCCTCCCTGGAGCCAGGCTTACTTGGATAAAAACGGAACCTCACCACATATTGAGCCAAAAACCCAGAGGACTCCGCGGGGGAGGAACAGTGGACGATCAGGAGACGAGACAAACACTAAAACCCTCTTTCCACTGGCTGCCAGGATCCCGGACAGGAACCATGAAATCAAAAACTGAACGGACAGACTAACAGAAAGACAAGTAATGATCTGGCCCTGAATGCTCAGGCTGAACTGAATATAAACCAGAGGAAACAGGTGAGAGGAATAAATTATAATTGAGGCAGGGAGGGAAAACGACAGGTGAAAGGAATGACTAATTAAAGCTACAGTGTGTAATTTTCAGCGACATCTAACGTCCAGACTGCAGACCGCTTCTCCCCCCCAACAGTACGGCGAGCGTTACCAGACAAAATCTCTTCCACGACGTCCGCATCACCTACCTTCTCAAGTGATGAGGTTTGTTTATATAGATAAGTTTACAGATAGTATATACTGCCATCTATTGTTCAGTACCGTCTCAGTTCATCTCTCTCAACTTGCCGTAGTTACTTTCGAGCGTAACCCCCGGCTCACACTGACTCCGGTCTTACCTTTGCGGTGCGGTGGGTGCGGCGCCGCAGTGATTCCAAGTCATTAAAAAGACGTAAACCTCTCTCACCGGCTGCTGAGCTGTCCGGCTGCGGTTACCGAGACACTCCGGCGCAAGAAAGCTATCCTAACAAGCTCTCCCAAATATCCTTATTTGGGCCGTGTTATCGCGTGAAGTTACGTGAACTCAAGTGAACTTCTGTTCTCGCGAGTTAAATCTCCGGAGCCGCACCGCACAGTAGTCAAAAGGGCGGTGTGAGAGGGGGTGTGCGGGAGTTGCGGTCTCCGTCGGCTCGGTAACCGCACCGGAGCCAGTGTGAGCAAGGGGTACTGGGCGATCTCGCAATCGCTAGTTTGTTGGCTCTGCGCTGCCGTAGCGCAAAGATGTCTGCCTCCATGGCTGCGAGACCAGCTCCTATGTAATTATAAATAACGAATTCTAAGGCAACGCAAATATTAAGGTTAAGAGGCTGAGCTCGTAGATGATGATAAATAACATAGTTATGTATAATATATTACATTTATGACTGTATATCCCTGTAATTATTACACACTGTAGATTTAAAGGAATAGTACACCCAAAACATGATTAGCCTTCATTTTCTACTGCCACCCATGCTGAACAACACTCTGGAGTACTTTTTTGATATCTCAAATGCATCTGGAGATCTGGGAGGCTTCTTGCTGTCTGCTGACATTCAAATAATGGAATGCGCACTTTCATCTGGTTTGGTCTGCCGGCTTCCGTGGCATCATGAACTCGCTGGCGCGCGCTTTCAGGAAATCCTAAAAACATTCTAAATGACTTTGTTTCGAGTAAATTCTGGATGCTCCCTACTCAGGACACTTGGAATACATTGGACGAGCAGTATGGAGGAATATTGACACGTTTTTTGTGGACTTTTATGGACCTTTCTGTCTCGGTCGCCATAGACCTCCATTATTTGAATGTCAGCAGACAGCAAGAAGCCTCCCAGATCTCCAGATGCATTTGAGATATCAAAAAAGTACTCCAGAGTGTTGCTCAGCATGGGGGTGAGTAGAAAATGAAGGCTAATCATGTTTTGGGTGTACTATTCCTTTAAGGGAGAGCAAACAGGCCAGATCATGACAAGTAACTTGTATAAACTTCCAATCTAATGCCATTTTTAGCTGAAAAAGCACCGTATGTCTAATGAATAGATTTTTCAGTCTCTAATTTTGTCTCCAAACTTTTACTTAAATATTAGAGCAGCTGCCAAAGTAAAGGGGAAAACGGGTATTGATCATGGATGTTATGCAGGTCTGAGCCCCACAGCCCGCAGCTGCGGATCATAAACAAATGTGCTTCAGTTTGACTGGCTGCTGATCCACCTACTGTCTGAATCATGAGCCGCAGCTGCTGCTGCGCACAAAGGCAGCCCGCCGCCGGCTGCTGTGCGCTCCTGGCGCTAAAGAAAGGCCGCCTGTGTGCGGACGTTTGCGTCAGCGATCAGATGCAAGACGTCCTCTAAGAACTGTCTGAGGATAGAATGAAAGCTTTGTGCTTTTTAAAGGACAAAAAGCTCCTTTTATTTCTGATTCATGAGCAGAGAGGAGGAGAACAGCGCCGCTGTTGAGCTGCTGCATCACGAAGATTGGTGTTTCAGAGAGAAAGCGGGATGCAGATGGCTTCTCTATCCGCAGTCAGGACTCACAGGGAGGCGGAAGAAGCTCTTCCTCATGGTGCCTTCATGCTGCGATAAAAGGATGCAGATAAAACATGAAGGAGGCTGACAGGTGGAGGCGGAGCGGCTCATCATGCTGCAGCATCATTTGCATGAGGTTTGTTTTTGGGAGAAACATCCCCAACGGTCGGAGCTGGGATCTCAGCCGAAGCTTCGCTGATCTGGAAGCTTTTTCTATTTTACAGAAATGATTTTAAGCTTCCTGGAGCCAAGTTGGAGGCGCAGGCTGGGGCTTTAGCGCACTGGATGGATGCGCTATGTGCGCATGCTCCATTCTCTGCTCAGTAAATTCACACATTAATCTACAATCCAATGTTATTAGCACCAATTTATAATAAAAACATTTAAAATTTGTCAAATTAAAAGCTGATCTTATTGTAAAGTGTCTTTATTTTTGAACATTTCATCTGCTGTACTTTGCGCTCCTTTTTGGACTTAAAAATTGACTCTATTTGAGTAAAGCTTCGACATTTTGCACCCAAACCTTAATATTTTGATTTAATTAGAACCTTTACCTTTAGACTTAGATTGACTTTTTGTATTTTTCCTCCCTGGAGCCTGTAAAGAGTTTTCTGAGCCTTGGATACTCCTTTCCCATTTTGGAGAGGTCTATTTTGGATTCGTTGCGCTCTTTTGGTATCGCTGGATTTTACCCTAGTTTTCCAAATTTTCTCCGCCTTTTTAAATCTTTTCCCGAACAAAAACATCCCCTTTGACCCAAAAAGTCCATCAGATCTGGATATGCAGCCTTTAAAGATGCTCCAGGGCTTGGAAACGCACCGAAGTCAGCTGAGCGTCTCCAGGACTTCAGCTGCGCACTCGCTGACAAACCCTCCTCTGGAACAACTGTTCCACTATTGGATGGAGCACAAGAAGTCTACATTTCAGGGGGTGGGACCACGTATTTCTGAGGTAAGGTTATTTATTATTTAACTCACTTCAAATGCCATTTTTGGTTCCATATTGGAGCTGTTGCCTTTATGGAGCCTGAACATCTTATTTTTAATTTAAGGGGAATCATTTGAATTTAAAAATTGGTTTTGTCCCATTTGATCACCCCCACATATTCAACATACATGGAAGTGTCCTTTTTGCAGGGATTGCTGGGAAGAAGAAGGAGGGTGTTTAGGTTGGGACTTTGGAAAGGCAGAGTTTGACAGAGTCAGTCTGAAAAGGTAAGAAATCCTCTGTTCTGGTGAAACCAATGGGACCCAATGATGGCTGGGAGGCAAATGGAGACTCTTTACTTGGGATATATGTCGAAAAAAACAGCTTTTCAGGTGTATTTTGGTGTATTTAATGTGTTTCTTAGCCAGGGAGGGTGAGGGCTCAGGGTGTGCACTAACAAGGAAATATGGAGAGGTAGCTAGGGGGAGCCAGAGCTGGGCAGGAAGGCAGCTCTCTGGGCTCCAGCACAGGAGATGAGCTGCTTATTATAGCTCTCCCAAACAAAGAACACCGGATGATGCTCGATTTTTAGGATGTTTGGGACATTAGTGCAGAAATGGGTTGAAGAATTTCAGCTTCTGGATCCTACTTCCTACCAGAGGCCTCTTTTTAACACCAACATGAGCTCTGTGGGGGAAAAACATCAGAAAATACAACAAACTGCTAGAAAGGAAAACTGAAGCAGGTCCCTGAATGCGCCTGCTGGACATAAGCAGCAGAATCAGTCAGGGATTAGAAGTTATTTCAGGTTAGCCTAGCATTCCTGTTCTGAATAAAACATCCAAGATGGCCTCTGAGCTGCCTGGAAGCAGGTGAGAGGAGCTGGAGGAGCCACTTCCTGGTCAGACATTCAGCACAAGCTCCACTTATTTTAAAGCTCAAACACACATTTTATTTACATTTAAATCCAATTAATCCATCAAATCTGAGCTTCAGGTGTTTTATCTTTGATTAAAGGTGCCTGCTCCCCCCTGAGCAGTGATTGGCTGGCTCACTTAATGGCTTTTTGACTCAACGGCTGTAATTGGTCAGTTTAATTACAACTAATTAACGTTTTAGTTCAGTTTTATACAGAGTATCCTTCTTTACTTTGAAAACTGTCGCTGATATCCTCCTAAAATATGAATAATATCTCAGAATCGGTCAAATTTGGTCAGATTTAGATGCTTTTAAAGCTGTTTGATAAATATTAGATCGATAAAAGTAATAAAACAGGTTAATGTGGGGCAGGACTGGGCAGAATAGGACCAAACTTTAATCCTAAGACTATGCGGTGTGATTCTAATAACTAAAAAAGTACGTTTTTAATAGAAAAATAAATGTTTTTTGTAGTTTTTCATGTAAGAATAGCTGCTGCAAAATACTGCTCTGAAAATTATACCATTTAAAATTATCGGAATTACAGAAATTCATCCAGTAAGAATATTTGATCCTGTTTTTATTATGTGAAACAAATGGGGGACAAAAGTACAACTTTTAAAAATTTATTGATGGACGTCAAACATTACTAGTAAAGAGAACAAATCAAAAATTCATTTACTGCATTAATCATAAAAATGTTGATTAAAAAACACATTTCTGATTGAATACAACTAATAATCCCATCATGTTTAATTAGCTTTTCTAAGTATTTCCTTTATAGTTTAAAAAAATAGATAATTGAAGCCTTTAATTACCTGCACAGGAAGTTGGATTTTGTTGGACAATGTTGAGGAAGGGAACCAATGAGATTCTGAAAGAAAAAAAGACACAAAATCGTTTATAAACATAAAACAATTGATCCAAAATCTTTCAATGAACAGTTAACTTTCTGTGATCTACGTTATGTAAGATAGCCACTAATAGAAGCGCCACAAAATGCTCTTCGGATTTTAAAATGTCTCAATATAGCGGTCAGATTTTCAGCTGAAAGTGTCTTTTTCTGAAGATTAGAATAACTTCTTTATTTTCTCCCTTTTTTTGTTGCTTTTAAAGTCCAGAACTGGCAGATTTTGTTTATCTTCCTGGAATTAAAGGGTTAATCTGAGGCAGAGCTGTCAGTCCACTGCTGTGGTGCTGAAATCAGATGCTTGGGTTGTTTCTGTGGAAGTGGGTCACTTACTGCCCCCCAGTGGAGGTATTGGGAAGAGCAGGAGGGCTGACTGAGGCCTTCAGCCTCCTGAGGCCTCAAACCAGAGATGAACACGTCTCTGGATGTCAGAATGCTGCTCAGCTCCTTCCTCATGTTGCATTGTGAGCCTCTGTTATATAATGAACACGTTCTGCAGCCTGGGAAAGTGGCTGCAGTTTCTGTGACTCCGCCCACACGCTGTGCCTCAGTCACAGAGAGGAGCTATCGGCACGGTCCATAGAAACAAGCAGGGAGCAGCCTGGTGCTGAAAAGCTGTCGGTAAAACATGGAGGCTCTTAACCCTTTCATGGCTGACAACCGCAGCCTGTTGGAGACGAAATGTTCCAGAGTAAAATGTGACTCTGAGCCATTTCCATCGACTCTGGAGACTGAACTCCTTTTTTTTCCAGGATTCAAATGTTGATTATTAAACGAGTCTGAATGCTGCAGCTCCTTTTCTGCTCCAGCAGGTTGGATTCAGCCGAGCTTCCGTAATATTCCCACAGCTGAAAGGATCAGATCCGGTTCAGAATAACAAAATCTGTCCACAGAAAAAAAGTTCTAGCTCTACAGTTGGCGTCTCCGCTGCAGGATCATTGAACAAAAACATTAGAAGAAGTAACCTCAGTTTGGACTCTTTCTAAGATCTCAAATCTGATATAAAAACACCTCAGATTTGCTTTAAAAGGAATTTTGTGGAGAAAATTCTTAGTTTGTGCTGCTTCTGTTATAAAGTTTCCAAAAGTTTTTAGGTTTGAACGTTTTAAGACAAAATCAGCACGAAAGTACGCAAACATTTGACATTGTTTTTGTTTGGTTGGGTTGAGGTGGAGCAGGTGTTTGACCTTTTGACCTCTGGTCAGTAACTGTTGAAATCTGCAAAAACACCCAAAAAAAAAAGCTAAATTTTATTTGATTTTGCGGGGGAAGATTCCCATTAACAGCAATAAAATCATAGCAGCACAAAATTTTTAACAGATTTCAAAGCAAAAGGCTATAACTTGGTAGAGAATGTGAAACACTGCCCTCTAGTGGTAGAGTATGGGTACAGCATGATTGAGACTTTGGTCTTTTAGCTTTTATTCTGTTAAAATTTTCTTTTTTTTAAAAAAACTTTTTCAGCACAAAGTTTAAAAAAGGATGTATTTTCATTTTTTTCAGCCCAAATAATGTATTTTAATTTATTTTAGATTTTGAGGCTTTAAATCTGCAACCTCTAAATATCCATGAGTCATTTTTACATTTGGTTCTAAGGAGATATCCACCAAGATTTATTTATTTTATTTTATTTCTTACCATGCAATTTCAAACTTGAAGTTAGAAAATGGGGGGGCAAAACGATATTAAAAACATTTCCAATGGGTTCGTGAAACTTTTGATAAATATATATTATATTTTCATTCATTTTGAAAGTTCAATGCAGTTTTTCAGTGGAAAAAAATACTAACTAGCATTTGTTTGGGTGTCTGTTTTCCAAAGCTTAACTGACTCTTCCTCCTTTTTAGCCAAAGTGATGAAGAGTCATTGTCGGGGGGGTTGGGGAGCTCTGCTTTAAACGAGACGAGCGGCGGGTAAAACGGCTGTCATCTTTTCCTTTCTCCAGATCATTGCCACCATGACAGATGAGGAGATCCAGGAGGACCACACCAAGCTGAAGCAGGGCCTAGTCAAAGTCCTCCACTGTGTAGCCAGCATCTCCTCGGCGGCGGCCGTGGTTAACCCCATTTTCGGCGTGGCCGGCTCCCTGATCCGGGTGGTGCTGCACCACATCGACGACGAGGACATCCGCACCCTGAAGCGCGAGTTTGGGTCGGTCAACCAAAAGCTGAACGAGATCTCCCAGCAGAACCGCCGGACGCTGGTTCAGATCGAGAAGGAGACGCTGGACGGCCAGTACTGCCGCGTGGAGGAGAACCTGAAGAACCAGTTCAGGAAGTTCATGGCGATGGTGGAGGCGAGGCCGGAGCACCGCGAGGGCAAGAAGGAGGACTTCGAGGAGAGCTACGCCAACGACCTGGGCGACCAGAACCTGCACACCCTGTACGACGGCGTGGTGGGAAAACCCAAGCTCTTCAGCAGACCCATCCTGGAGGTCTACCTGAAGCACTCCCAGGGCGACCGCCGCATCATGGAGCGCCTCTGCACGCGCCTCACCTACCTGTTCTGCATCGGCCTCATCGCCCTCATGGGCTACGCCGCCGTCATCGGCGACGACGAGGAGGGCCTGAGCGAGGAGTGGGCCGAGAAGATGGAGCACGTCCAGCAGAAGATGCAGGAGGCTTTGCTCAAGTGCAAATAAAGACCAGAAGGTTCTGTTCTGGACTCACGGGTCCACGTTCCCGCTTCAAGTCTCCTTTTACCACGTCAACCTGAAGGCAACACGCCCTCAGACCCTGCTGCATGGAAACTGGCTTTAGGGCGATGGAGACATCAGCTCACATAGTGATCAAGTCAAAGCACTAATTTAGATTTAAGTTATGAAAAATAAACACTAATTATTTGGGGGGAGTAAAATTATAAAATTCCTATAAAAGGCCAAATTAAAAAATCCACTTATAGCATCGGATTTAATATCAGCGAAACATTTAGCCTTTTTATCATTAAACTTCTGCATTAAAATAAAAATATCCGCCAGTTTTACATTTATTAAAATCCAAATATTTAATCAGATTATAATCAATAAAAATGGTCATAACCTGCATGTATTCCAGCTTCATGCTATCAGATCATATTAATGCACTTTGTGAAATATTAGCCTGGTGTTTGGAGGCTTTCAGGGACGGTCGGAGAGAAGAGGTGTGAAAACTTTCTGTCTGCCAAAGGAACGATGAATGTAAAGGACCCTAAAACGACCCCATTTGGTTTTTCTCCGTTTTAACGAACACATAAGAGGCACCCAGAGTTCAGCTTCTAGTAACAAATAATTTAAAGCATTTTTTGAACCTTAAACATTCATTTCATAGATTTCCACCTCCAATCATCTTTCTGCCGTTTGTTTTTATCTGAATGTTTCAGCACCTGTTTGAATTTTATATTTTTTATACGGTTTTGGGGGGGGGGGGGGGGTTCTGTTTATGGTTGCCGGGACACTACAGCTCAGATTAACCGTAAACCAGTGGTATCAAATATCCCAGGTTTGCTTTGCTGTTAGGAAAATAAAATAAATATAAAATATGTTCTTTTTCCATACCTCCAGTTTATTTTTAATTTTGTACGTTTGTGGGTCTAACCCGTCCTGCTTGAACTAATCGGGTTGATGGTTCTGTATCCTGACGATTATTGTTACACTAATAAAGTCCAAGTGCTCTTTATAGGGAGGAACAACGGACCCTGAAGGCGTCCTGAAATGTCCCACATGTGACCTTTTCATAGTTTTTTTTTGTTTTGGATGTTTTCCTTCAGGGTTTGTAAATAAGCATCGTTATAAATAAAGAAGTAAGAAGAAAACGGTTGTTATGAAGTTATTTAAAGTACTGATTGATTGTAGTGATGGATTACAGCTGCTGTCGCTACAGAATATACAACAATTTTGGCTTTTATAGCAACGTTTTCCAACCCAAGGGCCCCAAACTGATGGTAAGATGGAGCGGTATTGTATGAATTTGTGTTCTATCAAACTTGTTCTATAGTCACTCTATTACATATGGAGTAATGTAACTAAAGTCATTTATCTCTGGGATTATTAACACTGCAAAAAATGTAATTTTTTCCTAAAATAAGCGCATTTTTTCTTGAACTGAGGTGGTAATTGAAAGTTTGCCAATAGAACGAGAAATTTTATATTTAAAATAAGAAAAAAAATATGAAATTGTCTTATTTCAAGTACATGTTGGCAAACTATCTCATTTACCTACTCAAATTAAGGGTAAATACACTAAATTTAAGACATTATTACTTATTTCTGGACCTTTTTTACAGTGAAAGTATTTCTGATTCCTGGTTGATGGGACAGGTGTTGTGAATGAAACGGTGTCCAGCTTGAAGAGCTCCTGTGTGTCTCTGAATGTGAGCATTGATGCCTGAAAGACGTCTTCTCCCTCCATTTATCTGTTTACTACAGTCTGTTCAATTCATGTTAATGTGGATTTAAAGACATTTCAATTAGGGGGAAAAATTGCAGGAGGGAATAAAATCAAAACTTTCAAGACCCCCTTGCAGACCCCCATTATTTCTGTATTAAAATAAAACAGTTTAGCAGTAAAACGCTTCATGCTGTACGTGAGGAAGAATAAAAATAAAGGTACACATCATGGCATAAAGCTCATTAAATAAGTAATGAACTTGAATAAAGAATAGGACTGATTTTACAACATAAAAATAAAAGGAAAGTTTGGCTGAAAACTGATTATTACAGTCAAAGACTAAAAGCTCTAAATAAATGATTTGATTCTAGTTTTGAAAACAACTTTTCGTCCCTTTTCTGGGTTTTCTTCCAGACTTGTGGCTCATAAAGACTACGTACTTCACATTAAACACTTTTTATAGATATAAGATGTACTGCATGTTTCTTTTTCATCACTTCTGCCTTATTCCCAACCAAACAAACTGGTTAATTTAAAAACTTCCACTTCAAACTTGAGTTTTGTAGAGAAACATTTTTAGCCACGCCCCCATTTCCTTTATTTGCCTTTGAAATGCTTGATTTCAATTATTATATAAAATAAATAAAATAGAGGAGAGGAGGCTTAGTGGTTAGGGAATAGAGCTTGCAATCCTCAGGTTCTGAGTTTGAGTCCCACAGACTGTGACTCTGGGTCCCTGAGCAAGGCCCTTAACAATTATCTGCCCTAGGATGGCAGCCCACACTTGAAAAACAATCTAGAAATACATAAAAAAAATTCTTAAGTGTATTTACCCTTAATTTGAGTAGTTAAATGCGATAGTTTGCCAATAGAATGAGTATTTTTACTCTTAGAATAAGATAATTAGATAATATGCACTTGAAATAAGACAACACAATTGTTTTTTCTTATTTTAAGTCAATCTAAGAACTACGGAACAGGATTAGGGCCACTGAAAAAAAAAAAGTAAACTGATTTTTAAATTTTATTTCAGTTTAACATGGGAAAAAAGTCAGAATTCTGAGATTAAAGTCAGAATTCTGAGAAAAAAGTCAGAATTCTGACTTTAATCACAGAATTCTGACTTTAATCTCAGAATTTTGACTGAATTCTGACAATAAAAAAGTCAGAATTCTGAGAAAAAAGTCAGAATTATGACTTTAATCTCAGAATTCTGAGATTAAAGTCAATTTTGACTTTAATCTCAGAATTCGGACTTTTTTCTCAGAATTCTGACTTTTTTCCCATACTATACTGAAATAAAATAATAAAAAGTTAACTTTTTTTTTTTTTTTTTCAGTGGCCCTAATCCTCTTCCGTAAAGAACAAATGCAGTTATTATAAGAAAAAATTACTTATCTAGATTTGGATTTTTTCCAGTGACTGCTCCCCAACTAATGTGTTAAATGCAGAGGTTGAGATCAATAAAGTTATATTATATCCATCTTCTGTAGATTTTAGTTAAAATCCAAAACTTTCTTCAGATAATAATTTAGAAAAAACAAACAAAAGCGACAGATATTTACTTTGTTTATCTACTATTATAGGGCACAGCATATTAATTTATTGTTTTTGAGTTAATTGTCCAACAGCTAAATGGGAGGAGCTTCTATCAGCACTTCTTTTTGACCACAAAGATCTCTGACTTTTCATTTAGAGGAAAGAAACAGACCATTTATAATTTTCTTTTTTTGAAAAAATAGCATGTTATAAGAAAATAAAGACATTTAAAATGAAGTTCTTTGAGCTGCTTATTTTACAGAAGAAAAGAAGAGAGCGCAGCTTTGAGAGGGATGGAGTCTGATTTCACTCACTGAGGAGAAACTGCAGCAGGTTAGAGTTCAAATCCATAAACCTTAAATTATTAAACGATACTCAGGTTTTCATTGCTGACCTCATTCAGTCTGTCTTTATTGTTTTTCTCTTCGTTATTCGGTCATTTCTAGGAGGTTTTACTGCTCGCCGTCTACGATTTCCTGTCTGCATCTCAGTCTCACATGGATGAAACTGTAAGCTTCTGCAATGGTGAAGATTTCTAACCCAATGTTATCATTCTGAAGGATTTCTGCCATCAGCAGCAGGAAAGCAGATCAAATATAGATTTATATCACCAACGTCTTTACTAGTGTTAGCAGTCAGAGTTCTGGTTAAATTAATCTTTAGTTGCTGGTTTAATTCAATTATGTTGTATATTTTTAAGACAAAATCCTGATTCATGATTTCTACTAGTATATTTGTGATTGTATTTGTATATTTTTTAGGAAGGAGATTTCCATCAAAGATCAGTCAGAAAATTATAATTTTGCTTTCTGCTCTGAGCCCAGTTTAAAAACCGAAAAGTTGTCGAGACTTTTGCCTTTTAGCTCATTTAAACTCTTCAAACCGACTTTAAACAGTAAAACAGCAATAATTTATTTATGTTTTCAACAAAAAAAAGTAGATTTTCCAAGGATTTAATTAATGACAAAAAGCAACTTTTATGTGATTTTAAGATGCAGTTTTATCTTATGGTTCATCATTCTTTTATATATTCTCATTTTATTTGAAAATGTCCAAAAGGATCTAATTAAACCAGCAACTAAAAGATAAATAATTAAGAGAATTAAAATAAAACAGTTACTATTCAATATATATGTTAAAGATTATAAATATTTTACTGTTTAAAGTATCCAAACTAAAGAAATCTGTTAACATTTTTAAAGAAACGTAACCGTACTGACAACAATTGAGCTGCGTTTTACTATTTTCTCCACAAGGGGGCGACAACACACCGATGGATTTAATTTTTCCACCTGTTATTTTTATCTCTGGGACCTGAAACCCACCAGCATCATCAGAGCCTGACTGAATAATTAGACTTTAACAGGCAGACTGTATTTACTGTCCAGTTTATGAAAAAACATCAACTTTTTCAGTTTTTTTTTTTTCAGTTTTCTCCCCTGATCTGGATATTTAGCTGGACGCTGTACTATGAAAGAAGATTTAAATAATTAAATTCAGTTTATTTCTATAGCACCATTTCACAACACATGTCATCTGAAGGCACTCTCCAGTTCACCAGATTATCCAGTATAATTAATTCAAAGTTTTCTATCTAAGGAAAACCAGCTGATTGCATCGACTCATTGACTCTTCATCAATCCCTCACACTAAGCATGCTTGTAGCGACAGTGGAGAGGAAAAGCTCCCTTTGAACAGGAAGAAACCTCCAGCAGAACCAAACTATAGGAATGGAACGGTTTATGAAAACCGTCCGAACCGTTCGGTTCGACTGTCTCGGTTCGGTTCGCGTGTGTTTCGTTCGGTTCATGCGCTGCTCCTTTTTCTCATAGGCGAAGCGTTTACACTCCAGAGCAGAAGGTGGCGGTACTGCGACCAAAGCCAACCACCAGTAGTAAACAAGAAGAAGAAGAAGCGAAGCAGCGTAGCCGGGTGTAGCAGAAAAAAATCAGTTGTTGTGGAGAATTGTGTGGGCATGGCGAGTGGGAAAGAACAGGAGTTGGAAGACGCGCCAGCAGCGCTTTATAGGTCTGCTGTATGGGAGCCAAACCGAAAACCGTGACCACGAAACCGTGAACTGAACCGAACCGTGGAGTTTGTGAACCGTTCCACCCCTAGTAAACTAAGGTGTTGATGTTTATTGACGTTTATTGATGAATAAGCAGTAATTAAATAACTTCATCCTTACGTTTGAACCAGAAACACTTTTTTTTCACATTTATTTACTAAACTACTCAGACAGCAAAGGAAAACTGAATTCAATGAACAGAAATTCTAGCCTGACCCCTGACCCCGTCCTGACCTCCCTATAGACTGGACTGACCTTTTCAAATTATGTAACATAAATTACATTACGTAGCGAAACATAAAGATAAACAACACCCCTATTTTTAGTGAATTAATCAATACTGATATATTAAAGCTGATATAATTTGTAGTTGTTGTTTTTTTTTGTCCCTCTGTCTGGGCCCCCCTATAATCTGACCCTATAGACACATGCTTGCATTAATCTGTCTGAGCATCATTTTGGTGATTCTTAGATGAGGGGGGGGAGGATGATTTGATCAAAGAGCCGCTGGTTTGGAGTCAGAATGAAAATCAGATGAGTCACCGAGGTTGGGTCCCTCTGGAATGACCCTCATCATCCATCATGGGATGAAGATTATTTCCACCTCCTTTCAAATCATCTATTTTCACCAGCAGAAAAAATTTGATGATTTTATGAATTATTGATTAAACTTTGGTCACGACATGAGAATTGGGTTTGAAACGCAAATATTTCATGATTTAAAAGATAATTTTGCGTTTGTGTATAAAAAGGATGGAGGGTTTTATTGCACGTCGTGCGTAAAGGAGAAGGATGCGCGTTTTTTTAATATCTTTATTTCCCTTCCGTCATGAAAATAATCATAAATCGTCATAAAAGCTCATATTTAAACTAAATAAATGTGTCTCTGATGTCGTGGTGCAACAATTCCTCGCGGATGTGCGTGACGGGCGTCGGTTGAGCGGTTATAAATAGAAAGTGTGCGGTTTGCGGATCCTGCTTTATTTAAAACCAACAACGATCCTGAATAAAAATGTAATTTTACGCATTTTTTTGAAATGAGAAAAACATCCATTCAACGTCAAAAAGCGCTCAACACCAAACAGATCAAATTAAATGTGGCACCATGTTTAATCCACATTACATCAACATTAATTTCAGCAAAAACTGTTTCAGCATTGATTACATTTTTTTAAATAAAATAAAAATCCAACCTTTATGCTTCACAGCTTCCTTTTCTTAACAAGGACCAAATACCCGCTGGGATGTGATTAAATGATTAAATGGAAACATGCTTTTTGTTTCTTACCTCCTGCTGTTAAAACAGTAAAACCTTTGGACCGAAAAACGCAGAAATAAAGAGGATAAAAAAAAAAAACATTTAGAGAAAATCATCTAAAGCCAAATATTTACTTTTGAGTTTTTGTTGTTGAAGGAAATCAGATGTTGCTCCAATGAAGGTGGAGAAGAAAATGGATCCTCCGCAAATCTGCGCTCTTTCTGTCCCACTTCCTCCCCCTCCCTCCCTCTCTCTCCCCTCTCTGCCTACCTCTCTCTCCCTTTTGCAGACATTTGGTGCGCACCTTTTCTGCCTCTTATCTCTGGAACCCCGTCAGCTCCACTGGAGACCTGAAAAGGCTAAAATTCCTTCCTCACAGGGAGTGGGAAAAATCCATCCAACCTGTTTCTTTAACAGTCGGAACAGATCCGGTGGAAAGAAGGAGAAGAAGCAAATCCTCTCTGTTCAGGTACAGAAAAGCAAGTATTGTTATTAGAGGAATGCACTGAATGTTTATCTTCCATCTGAGGGGGGGAAACACTGAGGGGTGTGTCTGATGCTGTCAGGGGATTTGTGCGTAAAAAAGGCTTCCGTTGCGCATTTGTTCTGGGTGCGCGTGACAGTTAAACGTGATGCAGTTTAAACACAGACATGAAAAATCCCCCTTTTTACTCCTTTATTCGTCTTATTTGTTTGGATATTTGTTTAGTTTTGTTCACAAATGAAATGGTTTTATTATGATCGGATCTGTGGGACAGAAGTCTTTGTTAGGATGAACTGATGGATGAGAGGAGATTTTAAAACTTGCTCTAGCCTTTAATAATCCAAAAACAGACATTTTCTCCTCTCAGCATATCAGGCTCCATTTTGTCTGAATGACGTTGTTACCTGAAAACCAGGGAGGTTTTATTCTTGATTTCTTTTTTCTTCCTTACCTTAAAGAGCAGCAATTATTGTCTAAAGGTAAATTTAGCTTCTTTCTGTTGCTTTTTCTTCCAGAATGAGCTGAAGTGACCTCTGTCCTGCATGATAAGAGCAGATTTTACTCTAACCTTGAGTAAAGCACAGAGTCTGCCATGTTTGTTATGTTTTCCTGGATTGTTGTGGTAGAAATGTTTATCTTCCCTTATTTCTCACCATGTTTGGACTATTTTAAACCTCCTATAAGCAGCACTTCTCTTCCTCAGACTGTGGGAAGGCCAACGCCGGTTAAAATAAATAAAATCACAATTTATATTTATGCAAAAGATTATATAAACTATAAATACATTTATGAATATCTCTCAGAGGAACAAACGTAACAACAGTTCATCTCATTAGAAAAACATTGAAACTACTGAGATTTTATGGAAGAAGGGTAGAAATATCCTAAAATGAGAAAAAGAAAATCTAGTCTCATGTTATTACAAGATTAAATGGATCTAAAACTGGCTAATCATGTTTTCCTTCTTTGGAATATTCTTTATTTTATATATTTTTATGTAAAAATAAAAAACAGGAGTCATTTTAATGTAATCTGAGTGTTTTTCTCCTAATTATTACTTGAACAAAACAGCTTTGTCATATTTAGCTCTAATAACCAGAATAAGATCTAAAAACAGGCCAATAAATGCTTTAACACTTTGCAATCCATATGACGCTTCATATTATTTTCTTTTGCAACAAAAGCCATCAGCTCATCACTTTAGAAGCTTCTTGTTATCAACGACATGAAGGCAAAGAGCAAAGCTAGAGGGAGATTCTTCAGAAGAATGCAAACTGACTGTTAAAACCATCAACATGTGTGATTTTTTTATCTTTGTCTGCGGAGCCAAATATCTGCATTTGAACATCGTCCTGAAAGCTGGTAACAGTCATGAGAAAAACAGTGGAAGCTAACTGGAACTAAAACAACCATAATAATAATAAAAGGGAAAAAAACAGACTGAAATTCAGCTCAACGAAGCAGCTTTATTAATCCTGTTTACCTGCAAAGCAACACAACAAGCAAAATTAATAATCTTGATCTCTCAGATGCAGCAATAAAAGCAGGCATTAAGGAATAATAGTAAATGAACTAAAAAGGCGATCAAATAATTGGCTGCTGGGATCATCAGGAATTTGGCTCATGGGTTGATACTTGGCTTAACTCCTTCTTTTTAGATAATTTCCATACTTGTGTTTATAGCCATGATGATCCAGTAGCAGGTTCGCTTAAAGTAAGTTCTGACTGTTAGAAGAAGACCAAATGTTGCCAGAAAAGTTCCTCTAATTTGGGTTTATTAAACTGAGAGGGATTTAATTGTTTCACTATAATTTTGTAAAATTTTTTTTAGGTCAGATAAAAAAAAGTTTAGAAGCTCTGATCAACAGATTCTGACGGGTTTAGAAACGGGCAATACGGCCAAAAATGAAGCAAAACTCTATACCTTTTATATCAGTTCCCATAAATAATTGTTGATTTTTTATTATTATTATTGTTTAAAAAGAACCAGAGAAAAGGCAACAATTTAAAATTGTAACCTTAGAAAAATGAACAATTAACTTTAAAGGAGCAATAAGTAAAATTTCATCACCAGGTGGGGTGTTGACCTAGCCTGACGTAGTCCTACTCAATTCTAGTCAGAATATGAGTCTGATGCTGCTCCATAGAGCTGTGATTATGGGGCGCGTTTCAAACGAACCAGGAAAAAAAATGCCTCTGCACTCAATTGGATAGACCAGCAACCAATAAGAGCAACGGAGTGCGTGACGTATGTTAAGCGACGCATAGTTGTTGTCAACAAAAATCAAAGCGTGCAGTCGCGCGCCTAGAATAAGAAGATGAGCCTTGATCGCGTTTCTCTGTTCCTCTTTTAAAATTAATTTGCTGTCGATATCTTCTAGAACAGAAATCTACACACCTCAACTCTCCAGCGGCAGTCATTGTTGTTGTCACCCAAGCGCGCTTTGGTCACGTGGTTGATTACGTTACTGTTGATCATCTGTCCATCATCGTATAAAGCCCGCCCTGACAATTTGATTGGCCCGCCAGATATTGTGCGAGCGTACTCGCGCTACTACAGAGCAACGCCAGACCGAACTTCCCGACCTCAAACCTTGTGGGTGGGACTAAGTTCGGAATGGCACCCAGGCTAGTGTTGAGCACTGAGTGTAGACCAAAACCAAGATGTTTGACAAACGACACCTCTGTCTACACTGGAAAAACGATCAAGACATAAATAAAAAGTGTATTTACGCTTCCTACAAGAAAAAGAGGAGGAAAATCTTCAGGATGCAGTTCAGCAGCTCCTGGAATTCCTGGTAAAAAAGTACGACTGGGTTTCCTGATCAACCATTTAGGAAGCACCTACAGGAAGCTGCGAGCAGGGAAGCACTTTCACCACGTGGCGGGACAGAGTGTATTTACCCTTAATTTAAGTAGGTAAATGAGATAGTAATAAGACTTGAAATAAGACAATGCAATTGTGTTTTCTTATTTTTAGTGGAAATTGTCTTGTTCCATTGGCAAAATGGCTCTTTTACCTCCTCAATTCAAGAACAAATGGACTTATTTTAAGAAAAAATGACTTATCTAGATTTAGTTTTGTTTCCAGTTTACCTACACACTGGAAAAAGGATCTAAAAATAAGTAGAAATGTCAAATTAAGTGTATTTACGCTTAATTTGAGTCGGTAAATGAGCTAGTTTGCCAATGGAATGAGTATTTTTACTCTTAAAATAAGAAAATTAGATAAAATGCACTTGAAATAAGACAATGCAATTGTGTTTTCTTATTTTAAATGTAAATTGTCTTGTTCCATTGGCAAGATGTCTCTTTTACCTCCTTAATCCAAAAAAAGCACTTATTTTAAGAAAAAATGACTTAGATTTCGATTTCTTTCCAGTTCACCTACACTGTAAAAACGATCTAGAAATAAGTAAAAATTACTTAAATTAAGTGTATTCACCCTTAATTTGAGTAGGTAAATGAGATAGTTTGCCAATGGAATGAGTATTTTTACTCTTAAAATAAGATAATTAGATAATATGCACTTGAAATAAGACAATGCAATTGTGTTTTCTTATTTTTAGTGGAAATTGTCTTGTTCCATTGGCAAAATGGCTCTTTTACCTCCTCAATTCAAGAACAAATGGACTTATTTTAAGAAAAAATGACTTATCTAGATTTAGTTTTGTTTCCAGTTTACCTACACACTGGAAAAAGGATCTAAAAATAAGTAGAAATGTCAAATTAAGTGTATTTACGCTTAATTTGAGTCGGTAAATGAGCTAGTTTGCCAATGGAATGAGTATTTTTACTCTTAAAATAAGAAAATTAGATAAAATGCACTTGAAATAAGACAATGCAATTGTGTTTTCTTATTTTAAATGTAAATTGTCTTGTTCCATTGGCAAGATGTCTCTTTTACCTCCTAAATCCAAGAACAAATACACTTATTTTAAGAAAAAACAACTTATCTAGATTTCGATTTTTTTCCATATATCTACCTATTCTCATTCTGAGTGCGTATGAAATCGTACGAAAACTTATGCACCGTAATTTCGTACGTTTTGGACTTTTTTTTCGTCGCATGCGCATCTGACGCACCATTCACGAATATAGAATATAAATTACAATCAGCCCTCACCCTAACCCTAAGATATAAAACAGCAAGCAACGTAGTTAGAGGCATGAAGAAGTGATGATTTTTCCCAGTTTTACGTCCGTCCGCGGATCTGCTTTTTTTTCCTGTCTGCCAGCGCAGGCGCACTGATGTGGTTTTTTTGAGGAAAAACGTCCAAAACGTACAAAATAGTGTGCATAACTTTTCAGACGATTTCATACGCACTCATAATGAGAATATGTTAAATATATACGTATATTGGTATTGGTTACTGGTAGCCCTAAATTGCGATCAATGTGAATTAATTGGTTAAAAAAAACAAAAAAAAATGACCCATTCTGATTTGGAGATGTATTTTGAGTCCACAGATTTTTGGAAAGAGGAGTCATAACATGAAGAAAATCCTGTTTTATTTAACATTAGAACACGATAAAGGTTGATCTCCAGTCATTTCCTCAAAGAAATGCTAAAGTCAGGACCTTCAGCTGTGACTCTTCCATGTGTCTTTCTCATCGTTTGTCCATTTTTATTTAGAGAATGACGAGCTCGTTGGAAAAAGTAGTAGCTGAGAAGAAGGAGGCCATCGAGGCGCTGATGGATATGTTCGAGAAGGGGGCGGAGGTGTTGGCGAGCACCGTCGGCGAGCTCTTCCCCTTCTGTGAGGCTGCCGCTCCGGTTCTAAAGCTGGCCTTGGACAATACCCAGAGCAAAGAGGTGTTTTATGTCAAAGAGCAGTTCCTGACGGTCAGAAGCAAGCTGGACGTGCTCTCCAGTCAGCTGGAAGACATTGACTCTGAGCTCAAGAAGGGAAAGCTGGACTCTGACTACTTCTCTGTGGAAGAGAACATCAGGAACCTGTTCCGTAAGTACATGGATATCCTAGAGGCGAAACAGCAGTTCAAGGAGGTAAAGACCAGGCTGTTTTTGGAGCACTTTACCAAAACTGGTGGAGAGAAGAACCTCTATATTCTCTACGATGCTGTGATGGGGGCAAATAGTTTTGGGGAACCGATTTTAGAAATAGTAATGAGGTAAATTCATTCCTTACTTTATTGTTCCAACTAAAGAGTTCTTGTGACAGAACATCAACTAGAAATAAATCTGTTTCTGTTTGGCAGGTATGTGGCGAGGAACCGCCGTCTCCTGGAAAATTATTGTGTTCGGATGAAGGAGCTGTTCTGCTTGGGCTTGATTTCCCTGCTGGGCCACTGCGCCCTCACATTGCAGAGCCAAGAGGAGGAGCAGGACAAAATCCAGGAGTGGAGCACCAAAATTGAGGAGGTAGAGACCCAGATGAAGGCATCCATTGAGTCCTGCATAGCTGCATTTCCAGAACAGGCTAAATCAGACGTGCAACGCCTCCTACAAGAAAAAGAGGAGGAAAATCTTCAGGATGCAGTTCAGCGGCTCCTGGAGTTCCTGGTAAAAAAGTTCGACTGGGTTTCCTGGTCTGTGCGGCTGATCAACCATTCGGGCAGCACCTACAGGAAGCTGCGAGCAGGGAAGCACTTTCACCACGTGGCGGGACAGAACTGGTTCGAGGTGCTTCAGGTGGACGACATCAGCCTGGTGGTGTCGTTCAGCACCAAACCCCAGCCAGTCCCCAGCGACTTCATCCGGCAGCTGATGGAGGGCCCGGGGAAGAAGGGAAACGCTCCAGAGGTGGTGGAGGTGTTGGAGAAGCAGGTGTGTGGGTTCATCGTTCACGCCGTCAGTCGCCACAAGGAGTCTGAAGCGGCATGGAGCTTCCCGGATGACTGCCACTACTGGGAACGGCACAAGAACGTGGCGGTGTGCGTGCACTCAGAATGAGGCTAAGGAGCAGGATTTAAGGATTTTAAAGCCATTAAGCTGTCGGTGCCTCTGTCCTGCTACCAGGCTGTGGAATAAAATATCAGAATCCTTGTTATCAGCTGAACATACCTGCCATACTGCATCTAAAACATATGTTAGCTTCTTCTTTATGTAATTACCCTTGGATACCCTTGGTTAGGTTTGCACCCCCTCAGCTACCATTAGTTAAACTGGGGCTAAATTCTTCTGTCCAAATTCCAAAGGGATTCATATTGGAGAAAATCAATGGGTCAGCTCATTTATTTCAGAAATAATCCCTGTCATTGACACATTTACACAACCGTTTGTCACTAATCCATTAAAAGTAGAGGAAATGTAAAGGCAGCACTCTTTCCTAGAAGTTTCCCACCACATTACAGAGTACAAATATCAAGATGTTAGCACCAAGTTCCCAGGTTTCTCGCGCTGCTTATAGAGTATTGAATTCTTGGTGTTATTTTGTGATGCATAAAAGATCTACCACTGCTGGTCTAATCTACAGTTTCCAGGCTGTATGACTTGAAACACTCCATCAGAGGAGCACGTTTAATGCCGATGTCATATAATGAAGTAGAGCCCTCTATATTAAGCTTAAGCCAGGGCGTACACTGTGATATTTTCAATCGTTTCACAAAGCTCGGCTTACACTGTACGATGAAACCGCAGAGTTTAGAAGTTCACAGCTCAAAATGTACTGTCATGATTTTATCCAAAGATCTGACCCACATGCAGAAAACCAAACAGAGAGACCAGGGGAAGGTTTAACAGGTTTATTATGAACTGTTAGAGATGGGTCCAGTGCTGCTCTGAACACTGGCGAACCAGGACTGAAAAGTGAAGGGGAAGATCCTGCGGTTAGTTCAGGCTCAGAGGGAAATTTATGTTTCGATTTGTAAAAGGGAATAAAGGCAACAGAAAAGGTGTCTTTCCTTGAATCTAGTCGGTGTGGGTTGTTCCAGTAATTGACTTGCTCGTTGGAGGGCAGACAGGGTTTACCCAGGTTGAGGTGTTTCCTTGAGGAACGGAGGAGCTGACTGCCACTTAGATTTCCTGCGGTACTTGAATGGTTTCTTGTGGAGATGAATCCCCTGCTCAGTGTGAAGCCCAAACAATCCTTGGGGAAAAGTAGATCCAAACCACCAGTTTGAATCCTCAGCTCAGTTTGACGCTCAGACAATCCTTCCAGGGGGAGAAGGTCCAAAAAATCCAGTTTGCAGGATGGCTTCCTGCCGAGAGGCAAAGACAAAAAAACAACTAGGTTAAGACTTAGTTTGACTCAGCAAAACTCAGCTTGGCTAGAGTACCCAAAACTGGCAAACACTCTGGCGTCGAGGTAGTGGCAGTCAGCAGCTTAAGAGTCCTCCAGCAATGAGGCAACCATCCGCAGGTGTGTTAGGAGGCAAACGATAATCAGGCACCACCTGGTGGTGGAGGGAAAACAAACAAAAGCACAACCCACACAAACTGGATTCCTAACATGTACGTTCTCACACTGTGCAACCCAACGTTTTGTTGAGACCTTACGGCAGCCGACTGAATTTCAAACATGTTTGATTTTCCTCCGATCTTACGATTCCGATCGCCCCTGCATACTGCACGATGCACGATCAGGCTGATAGTCAGCCGAATCTGGAGAATCGGCCCGAAAAAAGGGCAAAAAAATCGTACAGTTTATGCCCAGCTTTAGTCTCACCATGTGTGGTGAAGCTGTCACTGAAGACGTGTTAAAAGAATTATTTGCTAATGATCATAGTACCAAAAGAAGCCGATAATCAACCATTATCAAGATTTTTTTGTGTTTTCTAGAGATGACAAAAAGTAATAATAGATATACAGGTGCTGGTCATAAAATTAGAATATCATGAAAAAATAGATTGATTTCAGTAATTCCATTTAAAAAGTGAAACTTGTATATTATATTCATACATTACATACAAACTCATATATTTCAGATGTTTATTTTGTTTAATTTTGATGATTACAAATGACAACAAATGAAAATCTCAAATTCATCATATCAGAAAATTAGAATATTACTGAAGACCAATAAAAACAAAGGATTTATAGAAATGTTGGCCAACTGAAAAGTATGAACATGAAAAGTATGAGCATGTACAGCACTCAGTATTTAGTTGGGCCTCCTTTGGCCTGTATTACTGCAGCAATGCGGCGTGGCATGGAGTCGATCAGTCTGTGGCACTGCTCAGGTGTTATGATAGCCCAGGCTGCTCTAATAGTGGCTTTTAGCTCTTCTGAATTGTTGGGTCTGGTGTATTGCATCTTCTTCTTCACAATACCCCATAGATTTTCTATGGGGTTAAGGTCAGGAGAGTTTGCTGGCCAATTAAGAACAGGGATACCATGGTCCTTCAACCAGGTACTGGTAGCTTTGGCACTGTGTGCAGGTGCCAAGTCCTGTTGGAAAATGAAATCTGCATCTCCAAAAAGTTGGTCAGCTGCAGGAAGCATGAAGTGCTCTAAAACTTCCTGGTATGTGGCTGCGTTGACCCTGGACCTCAGAAAACACAATGGACCAACACCAGCAGATGACATGGCACCCCAAACCATCACTGACTGTGGGAACTTTACACTGGACTTCAAGCAACGTGGATGAAGTGCCTCTCTTCTTTTCCTCCAGACTCTGGGACCTTGATTTCCAAAGGAAATGCAAAATTTACTTTCATCAGAGAACATGACTTTGGACCACTCACCAGCAGTCCAGTCCTGTTTCTCTTTAGCCCAGGCAAGACGCTTCTGACGCTGTCTGTGGTTCAAGAGTGGCTTGACACAAGGAATGCGACAGCAGAAACCCATGTCTTTCATACGTCTGTGTGTGGTGGTTCTTGAAGCACTCACTCCAGCTGCAGTCCACTCTTTGTGAATCTCCCCCACATTTTTGAATGGGTTTTGTTTCACAATCCTCTCCAGGGTGCGGTTATCTCTCTTGCTTGTACACTTTTTTCGACCACATCTTTTCCTTCCCTTCGCCTCTCTATTAATGTGCTTGGACACTGAGCTCTGTGAACAGCCAGCCTCTTTAGCGATGACCTTTTGTGTCTTGCCCTCCTTGTGCAAGGTGTCGATGGTCGTCTTTTGGACAACTGTCAAGTCAGCAGTCTTCCCCATGATTGTGTAGCCTATAGAACTAGACTGAAAGACCATTTAAAGGCTTTTGCAGGTGGTTTGAGTTAATTAGCTGATTAGAGTGTGGCACCAGGGGCCATCAATTTTGAACCTTTTCACAATATTCTAATTTTCTGATATGATGAATTTGAGATTTTCATTTGTTGTCATTTGTAATCATCAAAATTAAACAAAATAAACATCTGAAATATATGAGTTTGTATGTAATGTATGAATATAATATACAAGTTTCACTTTTTAAATGGAATTACTGAAATCAATCTACTTTTTCATGATATTCTAATTTTATGACCAGCACCTGTAGTTGTGATTTAGCTCCATGTTTCAGATGTTTTAAAGCAAAGCTTTTATCGGTCAGGCATGATTAAACCAGGTATCCAGAGGTGTCAAAAGTACTTTGGTTCTTTTCTAAAATTAAAGTACAATTTAAAAACACTGGTGAAAAGTAAAAGTATTGACTAAACTTTTCCACGGAAACAAAACAAAAAGAAAAGTACAGGTTCTACTTTGTACTTAAAGCTACAGTGTGTAAGGTGCGGCAGGGGTGCAGAGGCGACCCAGAGGCTTTGGTCCTTGACGTATCCATCGCAGGTTCAAATCCCGTCCTGTTGACCTTTGCCACTCTTAACTAATCTCCTGTCTTCCTACTTTGAAAATCACATAAATAAAGGCCATTAGAGCAAAAATTATCTTAAAACTACAATCTGAGATCTAGTGGTCAGACTGCAAACAGCAGCGACATGAGCTGCTTCTCCCCTCCAACAACACAGAGGCCTTCATGGCACAAAATGGCTCCCTCAACATCCATATCACCTATCTGGTCAAGGATGATTTTTGTTTACATTTTATAAATAGTATTTTATTCTGTGTAGGATATAGATTTTTTTCATAGGCTAACTTGCTGCATTCACATTCAAGCTAAATGGGAATCTCTACAGTCACTGGTTTGTCAGCTCTGAGCTGCTGTTGTAATGGTTTTGTTTCCGTTTAGATTTTCGTTTTGAGTTTTATTTGCATTTTTAGTTTTCTGGTTGTATTTCAGTTCTTAGGTATTTCTTGTTTACCCTGTGTTGCCTTCTTGTGTCAGCCTCTTTCCCCCCTAGCTCCCTTCTAGATGCTTCTGTCCACACCTGTTCTTCATCTGCTAATTAGTCCTCCCATTGTTTCTGTCTCCCATATATATACACACCTCCTGTTCAGTCACTCTTGGCTGGTGGCTGTCAGGTTGGGTGGAGGTTTGAAGGACCCAAATGCAGAGATGGCTTCTATTAAAACCAGAGGGTTTCAAAAGATGCATAAAATCCACAAACAAAATACAGAAAAATTTAAATCCATGAGAAATCAGGGGAAAAAAAACACATGAGGAGCCAAGAAATGACGAGGAACCAGCAAAGAGTGACTGAACAGGATGTGTATATATGGGAGACAGCCGTAGTTCTAAGATGTCTGCCTCCATATATGTGTGACGTTGTTACTATAAATAGACATTTCTAAGGCAACAAGATATAAGTTTGAATTTAAGTTTGAATCCCTGTAGTTTTTACACGCTGTAGCTTTAAGTACAAGTTTTTGCCATAAGTGATAGAAAATAACCTTTAAAATCTCTATTCTTGAAACATTTACCTGCAAGAAAGTAGATAAAATGTTCTTTTGCTTGTGAGAAGATGAAAGATCGAAACTCCTTCTAGTTCTGTTCTAAATTAAAATTTCAAACAAAATATTCTTTCAAGAGCAGCTAAATCCTTTAAGAGATCAGCGGTTGGCAGAATTAAAGCTGTAAAAAGCATTAAAATTAAAGTAGAGCTTAAATTATGATTAAGATGTACATTTAAAATCTAATAAAGGAGAATTACTTTAAGAACCTGAGTCTGTTTCTCAGCCCTCTGTCTTCATAAACAAATTTGTTGATTTACCCCGTTTTTTTTACAGCTGTTACATCATATTACAATAACAGTATATGTAGAAGCAATGAGCCAGTTTATTTAAAAGTATTACGTTCTGAGAAAATAAATACTCCAGTAAAATACAGATACCCAAAAAGGTATCTAAAGTACAGTAACTAAATATTTATTTCTAGCATCTTGACTCTTCTGCAACTATTCCTTGGAGGGTCAATATAAATATAATCCAAGCAATATATTCTGGACATGAATTCATAAATTACAAGTTACACCTTTAGTTAAAAAAACAAACTCTTCATTTTCCATTTTTTTTATTACCATTATGTGAATATTGTCAGGATTTGGTTATTGAGTGTTGACCCAAAGCAGAGGCAGGAAGGCAGAGGTGAATTTCATTGATTTAATTAAAAAGGGAAACTGAAAACAAAGGCAGGTTATCCAAAAATCCAAAAGAAAACAAAGTCCAAACAAACATGAAACCAGGAGTCCAAAAATCAAAAACATGAAAACTAGTCTAAACGT